CCACATGTCTATCTCTCCCCTAAAAATCAACTCCCAAAAACACCCTAAGGGTATGTTTTGGAGTTTTGGGGGAGGGGGAATGGGAGGGTTTAAAAGTTAGCCATGAGAGGGGAAGGGGAGGGGAAGTGAAAGAAAGCCTTTTTTTTTGCAAAAAAAAACGCTGTTTTTGTTTGGGAATAATGAATTTAGGAAAAGAAATGTTACAGAAAATTATAATTAAAATCGCTTTAAATAAATATTGAATTTAAATAGTTGTGTGGTTGAAGTTTAATTTGTGCGGAGGAGAGAGAAATGAGCAGAACCACAAATTATGGGAATCTACGCCTCCTGATAATTTTCAACACATCAATACGCACACCACTAAATCATATCTTGGTCTTTTGGAGTGTCTCAATACAAAGAGTCAAGGATGTGATTTATAATTAAATTATTTTGCAATGGACAAAAACTTGAACAACAAAAAGAAAAGAAAACACTACAAAAAAGTAATTTTAAAATGCTTAAATCGAGTAATTTTAAAATGCTTAAATTCTTACAAAAAAGTGTCTTAATATTTATTTTTTTGTATTTGATTTTCTCAATTCCTCCATCAAAGAATTCATCCAATAATGAATATCTTTTAAATCAAATTATTAGAAGTTAATCAAATACTCTATAGTTAATTTACTAGGCAAATGTGTTGGAATAAATCTTATAAAGTGCCAAAAAAGGGGGTGTCCCCTAGGAAGAGTGGTAAGACGTGTTGTAGCGATACTCGGCCCATGGAAGCCAACGGACCCGTTCATTGGGATAATCACTAGTGACACAATGTAAAAACAAACTCATAGTATAGTTGACCACCTCAGTTTGGCCATTTGTCTGTGGGTGATAAGCTGATGAATAGGCCAGCTTAGTTTCTAATAATCTGAAAAGTTCGCGCCAAAATGTGCTTACAAATATTGTATCTCCGCCAGAAACAATGGATTCAGGCACGCAGTCCATGATAGCGAAATATTTCAGCAAAGAAGACTCTTGCGACTGAAACATCGGTATAAGGATGAGACAATGGGATAAAATGTGTTGCTTTAGAGAGTCTGTCCACAACCACTAGGATAACAGACTTGTCACGAACCTTTGGTAAACCCTCCACAAAATCCATTAAAATATCAGCCCATATATGGTGTGGAATCGGAAGATGTTGAAGTAAACCAGCAGGCTGTAATATCAACCACTTGTGTTTTTGACACGTTTGATAGTCACAAACAAAGGCTGTTATTGATGTTTTCATGCCGCTCCCAAAAAACTCGCGCCGAAGCCATTGCAAAGTCTTTTCCACTCCCTCATGAGTCAGAATGACCGCAAATGTATCTAGCAGGTAGATTTTAAACATGAAATGAACTAGGCCACCCCGAATCTCCCAATCTGATCCACATTGGCCACTTCGGATTTCGCCAATGATATCTGCTATGATAGGAGAGGTTTCTTGTTCTGCACATTATTCACTAAGTAAGGTGTTGTACGGAACACTGAGTGATGCCATCCGGTTGTCGTCCTCATGTTGTCGGGATAGAGCATGTGCGACAGTGTTTAGGCGGCCTGGCTTGTATTCCACCCGAAAATTGAAACCCCATCGATCAATTTACTTAACCAATTTTGTTGTCGGGAAGTGGTTAATCGTTGATCCAGTAAGTACTTCAAATTGGAGTGATCTGTCGAATTAAAAATTCAAATCCCCACAAATAGGATCTCCAATGAGTCACTTCCTTGGCTAAGCTAATCAACTCCCTTTCATAGGTTGCAAGCTTAAGGTGTCGATAAGCATTTTTTCGATTAAAGTAGGCGATAGGATTCCCTTCTTGCCGTAAGAATGCTCCAAAGCTTGAACCTGAAGCACCGCATTCTACAATAAAATCTTTTTCAAAATTTTGAAATTAGAGTACTGGAGCTGAGGATAATCGTTGCTTAAGTGTCTTGAATGCCTGGGTTGCTTTGCCTGTCCATATGAAAGAGATTTTCTTAACATTTGTGTGAGAGGCCCCGCAATTTTGCCATATTGTTGAATAAACTTTATGTAATAGTCGGCCAATCCTAGAACCTCGTGCAAAGCAGATATGGATCTAGGGAGGGGCCACTATGTGATTTATCATATTTTGGATGGATTGACCTCGACACCCCCACGATGTATTACGTGACCAAGATAGTAGACTTGCTGGTCGCCAAAACTGCACTTAGATTTTTTGACAGAAAGGCCATGGTTGCGCAAGGTTTCTAAGATGAGACGCACATGATAAACGTGCTCAACCCATGACTTGCTATAAATCAATATGTCATCAAAGAAAATGAGGACAAACATGCGAAGGTAGGGCCCGAAAATATCATTCATCAAACTCTAAAATGTGGAGGGTGCATTAGTCAGGCCAAAAGGCATAACTAAGAATTCGAAGTGTCCATGATGCGTACGGAATGCTGTTTTTTCAACATCCTCAACTGCCATGCAGATCTAATGATATCTGGAATGGAGGTCGAGTTTAGTAAAAAACTGGGCCGATAAAGTTCATCTAGCAGCTCATCAATTATCGGGATTAGATATTTATCCTTGATCGTCTTGGAATTCAATTCCCTATATTCAACGCAGAATCGCCAAGCACCCTCTAGTTTTTTGACTAATAATACAGGCGACGAAAAAAGAGAATGACTTGGGTGTATGATACCTTGTGCGAGCATCTCTTAACATTGTCTTTCGATCTCATCCTTTTGAAAGTATGGGCAGCGGTAAGGATGAACAACCACAGGGGATGTTTGTGAGATGAGGGAAATTTGGTGATCACAAGTAGGGGTGGGCGCGGTCTGGAATGGTCCGGTAAATTGGTAAAACCCGTAATGTATCCGTAAGGTTTTAACGGTTCGGTACGGTCCGGTTCTAATGATAGAAACATTCGGTATCATGTTGTTTCGGAATGGTACAAAACAGTACGGTACAATGCCAAACACATGCTAAAAAATTTGAACAAATCTTGCAATTAGTAGATTTCATCACACCAACCAACTCACATGAAATGTTGAAATAAATACAAGAAATTGCATAGGTAGTACTAAAATTCACAAATACACAAATAGTGCAACACAACTAAGAAAAACTATAGCAAAACGATGACACACGAGGTACATGTCATTTTTAATTTACTAAGTTCATGTGAAAGTATAAAAACGAATATCATCAAATTGTTGAATATAATAGAAATCTTCAACGTTCTTCTTCTTCATTCTAGGTTAAATATTACTCGCATTTCTAATTTAATTTATAGTTGAACCTTGAGCGATAAGATATAAACCATATTAATTAAGTGCAGCTTTTTTTTTTATCCCGGAAGGTAAACCACCAAAATCAGTGGGGCAAACGCCGGGGAACGTTTGCCAGATTTTATTAATAGATGTAGAATAATACAATAGAGAGGGGGACCAAACCAAAACCTCTCCTTAGAGGCATACCTCTAAAAGAACATGATTCAATACTAAAAGATAAAAAAAAATTGGGGGGGCTTGACCTGACCCAAAAATTAAAATACATGAAATTAAAAACGCAGGGCTGGAATACAAAAGAGGTCTCCATAATAGCTATTTTTAACATCTTTTGGAAAATTACCTACCTGATCAAATAAAACAATTTGGGCCAAACCCAGGTTCTTACCTGCAAGCAGATGGGCCGGACCGTTCCCTTCTCGAAATACATGTCCGAAAGAAAACCTTCTGAGTGTTGCCTTTCTCCTGAAATCAGCACAGTTGCCTGAATCATCCAAAATAAGGGAAATCGCCCTAGCCGCATCACTCTCCACCTGAACATCTGCGAAACCAGCTTCCATAATCATTTCTGCTGCGAAAATCAGCGATTGCAACTCAGCCTCCTCGCTGGACGCCGCTTGAAGTCTGAAGGACGTAGCCCATACCAGTTCTCCCATCCGATTTCGAAGAATAGCTCCTCCCGAAGCACAGCCAGGTTTTGAACGAAGCATCTACGTTCAATTTGTAGCTTTGTTTAGGTCTTTTCCACTTGACAACCTGAATAATAGGGTAATTAAATTTAAACCTTAACGGAATAAAGTTTTCAGTGTACAAAAAATCTTCCACCCTTCTGCGTTTTATCTTTGTTAAAGTTGAAGCCCATTTCTGAGTATAGAACTTGATTTGTAGAATAATGTAATCTGGACTTGGTATAGAATCCAAACCCCAAGTGTATGAAGAAAAAACCTTCCAAATGTGCCATGTTATAATGCCAGACATAGTGTGCTTAAAATATCTGCCATTAATTTAGAACCAGCCTCAATCCACCATAGTATAAGAACTTGCCTAATTGAAGCTGTGTTAGGCATGAGGATATCAAAGTTCCCCATAAAGTACTGCCATATGAACTTGGTGTATGAACAATTAAAGAAGATATGGTCAGTAGTTTCACAATTCCTCCTACAAAGGGGGCACCTTGATGGGTTGACAGTCAATTGAAACCTCTTAAGATTGTCACCAATGGGTAGAAAAGAGTTAAGAAGCTTCCAAAGAAAAACTTTGATCTGCATAGACTGATACTTATGCCATATATGTTTATCAGTAAATGTAACTGATTTTTTGTTTCTGATTTCCTTGTAAGCAGAAGCCAGAGAGAAGTTACCATGAATACCAGGGTCCCATTGCAATGATCCAGAAGAACTCTCTGAACAAAGGTTAGTAGCTACTTCATGTATCTCACAAATTCTTCTCCAAACATTAGAGTCAGAAGTTTTTGGCCTCATATCCTCTCCTCTAGGGTATCTTATTTTAATGAAAGAAACCCAAAGAGATTTCTGAGTTTTCCATTTCCACCATAACTTCAGTGAATAAGCTGTTTGATCATCATTAAGTCCTCTAATCCCTAGCCCTCCTTCTTCAGTAGTATAGCATACCTTTGACCATTTGACCCAATGGTATTTCTTTCTGATTGATGAAGATCCCCAAAAGAAAGAGGCCATTTTTTTCTCCAAGGTAGTTATGATCTTTTTAGGAAGTTTAGTTGTTGCAAAGATATAATTAGGGATGGTATTCAATACATATCTAATCAATACAAGTCTGCCACCTTGGGAAAGATTTTTCTGTTTCCAGGATGATAGCTTTGAATCAAAATGTTCTATAATTTGAGAACAATATTGAAACCTGTTCATCCCTTTATGCAGGTGAGATCCTAAATATTTCATTGGCAGAGAGGTTTTCCTCATTCCCAGGATATTTTTTATAGCTGTGGATCTGTAAGTGGCTCCCTTCCCTGTAATAAAACTGCTCTTCTCTAAATTAACAGTTTGGCCTGAGGCAGCTTGATAATCATTAATAAACCTTTTAAACTGTACCAAAGACCTGGAATCTCCATTTGTAAAAACCAGAAGGTCATCTGCAAAACCAAGATGACTGATGGGGAACCCTTTACAGCCTAACCAGAATGGCTTAATATAGCCCTACTCCATTCTAACTTTTAAGCTTCTTGAAAACCCTTCAGAGGCAATGATGAAGAGGAATGGGAAATCGGGTCTCCTTGTTTAACCCCCCTTTTTGGTTGGAAGAAACCATGAGGGCTCCCATTTATCAAAATAGATAAGTAGGTGGATTGTAAGTTGTTTTTAATGAGAGTAACAAACTGACTTGAGAAACCAAATCTATCCAAAACCCCATATAAGTAGTTCCAAGAGAGCTTATCAAATGCTTTAGCCATATCCAACTTAATGACCACATTTGATCCTCTGACTTTCTTATCAATTGCATGTACCATGTCTTGGGCTATAAGAATCTGATCAGAGATGTCCCTACCCTTAACAAAACCAGTTTGTTCTTCAGAAATGATTTTAGGCAACACTCTGACCAATCTATTAGCCAGAACTTTAGTACAAATTTTGTTTGAGAAATTTGATAAACATATAGGCCTGAATTCTGAGAAGGTAGATGGAGTTTCTGTTTTTGGAATTAATGTAATGAATGAACTGGAGAAACCTTTAGGGAGAGGCACCCCTATAAAAATTCCTGGACAGCTTTAACAACATCACTCCCTACAATATGCCAACACTTTTTGTAAAATTTTCCAGAGAAACCATCAGGTCCAGGAGCTTAATTAAGTGCAGCTAACTGCATTGTTGATGTTGTGAATATGTGCTGCTAACTGCATTGTTGATGTTGTCCCGACACCAAACATAGCATGGAGTGATAGGGTGGCTCTAGGTCATCTTCTAGTCGATTATCTTCCAAAATTTCAATGAAAAACAACTGTTTGCATGTATGGCCACGAATCGTCATAATTATAACCTCGATGCAACTGCATTACAACTGTTTGCATTTATGGCCAACTGTTTACAGTTTATGGCCACTAATCATCATAATTATAACACAACCCTTTCTTCCGTCAGATAGCAGCCTTTGCAGGAGAAATCTTTTTGAATGTTGGAATGGAGTTGCATCGAGGTTTGTTTGGTTCGGTCAGTGTGAGCGCATAACCTGATCATGTGGCGAGTTGGGGTGGAGGGGAGATCTCGACCAAGGAGCCTTACAAATTATATTTGTGTTCAACATTTTGTGCGATCATCATCGCAGAGTCAAGATCTAACATATTTTGTTACTCAACCTCCATGTGGATGACCTCCCGAAGGTCAGCTATGAATATTTTGACCTGCATTCGTGTAGAGCTCCCCATGGCTTGAGCCAATAATCGTTGAAAAATCTCAATGTAGAGCTCGAGATCATGAGTTTGACGAAGTTTGGCAAGATCACCTTCTGGATTAGAACTACTGTGTGGGCCAATACGTTTGATGCAACGAGTGTAAAAGTTTGTCCATGTAATCTCTGGAATTCCCGTCTCAAATAGATCGGCCCATAGTTGGGCAGTGCCGAGCATGTGGAATGTTGCCAATCCCACTCAAGCTTGGTCCGGAGTTCGTTGTTGAATAAAGAAGCTTTCGCAACGTTTCAACCATGACAAGGGATCACTTTTACCGTCAACCCGAGGAAATTCTGGTTTGGAGTAGCGGGGAACTAAGGAATCATCAGTTTCACGCCGACGAGGTTATGTGTCGCGTTTTCGTTCATGCATTGGATTGCTGGAGGAAGATTCACCCATCAATCGTTGCAGGTTTGCAGATAGCGCAGATACAACGTTAGGAATGTTGACGAGCTTAGCCATAGAATCCCCGATGTCTTCCAATTGATGTTCGACTGTCAGTTGCATGTGATCGATGTTTTCAATCATGTCTTTGAGTGAGCCAGTGTCAGCAGCGTCGTTCACCATCGTCCCAGACGATGATACCAAGATGTTAAGGGTAGACGTACAAGATCTCGTCCATGGACAAGAACGCCAGACTGGAAGAGAACGATAATTTAAAGAATTCTGTAATTTGGAATCTATGATGAACGTATTAATTGGAAGAATTAAAAGAAAGGGCTCAATGGAATTAATCTGATCTTGGAAGTATCCCAGAGATCCAAGAATTAATTCTCCAAAGCTGTTTATTGAATAATACTAATGACCCTTATATAATACCAGAGTCCTAATTCTAAACGCAAATAAATGCTAACTAAGAAGTTGCCTAAAGCATACTAAGAATAATAATAAGAGAAAGAGATAAATGCCAATTAGGAAAGTGCTTAATAGGAAGCTAGGAATAATTAGAGAAAGAGATAAATGCTAATTCTCAGCCACTTGGATTCAAGATTCACCCTCCTTGATCACCAGTATACATTTTCATAAAAAGAGGCAACTTTCAATGTTTCAATAAAAATTTAACATGCAACGAATATGGGAATAATAATAACATGTTACAAAATACAATTATTACAGATAAAATTTACCTACATGAAGGACACATATTTCTTTCATTCGGTTTTGTTCGGTTTTTCTTGATTTCAGTTTTATTCGGTTTTTCTTGATTTCAATTTGTTAATAGTTTTATGGTCTGAAAGAAATACTAGCAAATTCAAACCAAATTGCATTGGGTCCGTTTTCGATTCAATTTAATTGGGCTTGGTACAATTCGGTTAAACCAAACCAATATGTCATATAATTTGAACAAAATTTTAAGGAACCTTATCCATCTTTTTTAATAGAATCTGACAAGCATCAATACCATTTGTTAATGAACAAAACTCCGTAATTAATTTGTAAAACACACATATAATAATTTTTTAAATCGGAGAAACAAGATTTTGTCAAGATTAATAGAGTAATTATTATTTAGTAGTTTCCTTGTATTAGGATTCCTTTTATATTATGTTTCCTAATGTACTCTAAACAATTCTCTATATAATATACACCCAGGACTACCATATGGGGTAAGCCATTCCATGATTCTCACATGGTATCAAGAGCACTAGGGTTTTAAAACAATTCAATTTTTTTTCTGATCCTATGTCCACCGAGGAAACTGCCGCCGCCACCAGCCTTCACGTCACCACCGTTGTGACGTCATCTTCCATTCCGAGCGCAGGTTCCTCTACCACGTTGGCGCCGTCTTCCCTCTCAAACGAGCAGCCACGTTCGGGTTTCACAACGGTGTTTTCTTCTTCTTCCACGCCGTCGTCTTGGGTCCCGCCAATCTTCACTTGGACGCCATCTGTTCCAAGCATGCCGCTGTTGCCGCCTCCACCTTCCTTCGCTGTCGGAGAATCCAGCAGCAACGCAGGCCATACCTATGGAGGTCCAACTTTATCCGGCAGTCCAGGTCTGCTTCCGCCTTCACCCACTGGCCCGGTTGGACGTCGGGAAGTCCCGCTGATTCCCAACTCGTTTGCATCTCTCAGTCAAGGTATGAGTTTTGGTGCTTCCTCTATCACAACTATTGTGACAATTAAATTGCTAGTTGTTGAAGATTATTTACCCTGGCGTACTCAGTTTGAGTCTTTCCTGGTGTCTAATGGTCTTTTGGGTATTCTTGATGGTTCCTTACCTGCTCCGTCATTATATACCTATGATTTGTATCACACACAAACCATGAACCCTGAGTATTATCATTGGCTGAAATTAGATCAGACTGTTCGTTCTTGGTTGTTTGCTACTCTCTCTCGTGATATTTTTGTTGAGGTGCATCAATTAAAGAATTCTACAGCCATATGGGAACGTTTGGAGGCTCGTTTCATGACTGCCAGTCTGGCTCGATCCATGGAATTAAAACACATGTTGAGTCACATGAAAAAGAAAGACAATCAGTCCATGGACCAATATTTACTTGAAATCCGGAAAATTGCTGAATCCCTGGCCTCAATTAATTCTCCAGTTTCTGACCATGATCTCTTACAAACTGCTCTCCTGGGGTTGGGTCCGGGATATGAGTCACTTGTAGGCCCCTTAACTTTATTTCCGGAGGGTCTCACATTTGATAAATTATGCACCAAACTTGTCCATCAAGAGGCCTGGCTTCACTATCAACAGCGTTTGGAGACTACAGTTGGCGCCCCAGCCTTTGCAGCACACGGCCAGCTTCCTGCTGGAACCAGCCAGCAGCAGCCGCAACAGGCGTCCGCCGCACAACAGCAGCAGAACGGCCAGCGCGGAGGTCGCGGTCGCGACAGGGGATCTCGCGGTCGCGGAGGTCGTGGTCGTGGACGCGGTGGACAGTACTTCCAGTAGCAGTATCCCGGCGGCCACTAGTACTATTACAGCAATGGACAGCAGCCACAACAGCCGTATGGGACCCACGGCAGAGGCCTTCTTCCATCACCACCTATGGGTATACCGGGTACAGTTAATTGTAATTCAGTTGAGTCGTTGTTTTATACTTCTGCACCATATACTTTTTGTGCTAACTATGCTTCTGCAGGATCTTCACCCTTTGAGAATAATTTTGGTTCTGTTCCTCCACCTGTTGTCTGTCAAATCTGTCACTCGCTAGGTCATTCTGCAGTTAACTGACCATCCCGTTTTGCTCAACCTTCCGCCCCTACTTTAGTTGTTCCTACCGGAGAATCTTCTTCCTCTGTTTGGTACCCTGACTCTGGCGCTTCCGCTCATATGACTCCTACTGAAGGTATTTTAGAAAATAAATCAATTTATTCTGGACCACTAACTGTGAAGGTTGCTAATGACACTAATTTACCTCTTGTGACGGTTGGTGATTTAGCTTTACCTTCGATGTCGCGTCCTCTTCATTTAAAATCTGTTTTTCATGTACCTCATCTCAAATATAATTTATTTTCTATCCAAAAACTATGTGCTGATAATAACTGCTTTGTGATTTTTAATAAAAATTCTGTTTGTATTAAGGACCACAATTCGGGGGAGGTGCTTCTTAAAGCTCCTAATCAAGGTGGTGTTTATCCTATTTCTTGGCCTAATCCCTCATCAGTTTCTTTAGCTACTCATGTTGCTTCTGGACCTGTCTGGCATCGGCGTTTGGGACACTGTGGCAGACGTATTTTAGATAAACTTAAAAAGTCTGGTTCTATTTTTAGCAATTCTAATTTTTCCCATGATTGTATTTCTTGTCGGTTAGGAAAATCTCAACGGTTACCTTTTCAAGAAGTTTGGCAGAAATCTACTGCCCCTTTATTTTTGGTTCATTCTGATTTATGGCAATCACCTGTTTTGTCTAACAATGGTTTTAAATATTATGTTTTATTTATTGATGATTTTTCCCGTTTTACTTGGTGTTGAAGGTAAGTCCCGTAGATCCGAAAGCCCAACACGAACTTTGAATATATCAGGAATGGTCCAGAATCAAAGTGTATAATCAAATATAAAATATGAACTCACTAATACTCAAAATCCCACTCGTATTAATTAACCAGTCTGATTACAAGGAAATTCCCGATTGGTAGGTCGGAATAATGCTTTAATACAAGAGATAAGAGCAATAATGCTATTCTAGAGCCTGAGTATTGAAATGTTAAACCTTACAATGATTTTAAACCTTCTATTTATACTAATGGAGAACATGTGCTGCTCTATGCTGATTGACTGTTGTTCCACCGACTTGGTGTAACACCCACAAATTTCCCACCCAAAACGTTGATATAATTGAAATAAAACTTTTATTTATTGATAATGAAAATTTAAAGAAAGTACAGCGGAAGTCTTAATAAGGGAAATGGGTGTTACCGCCACATCCGGTCATCTCTCAACCGGATGCACAGGCAACTAAAACATAACAACTAATTTAATAAAAATAAAGTGTTTGTAAAGTAAATGTTTATTTCATGACTAGTATAACTAAGGTGACTACTAATTCGCTCTCGGGCCATGCAAGCAATCGTCAATCGACAAAGTCATCCTCACCTGCACAAATAAAGTGCAGAAACAAAACAAAGAAAAGAAAACAAAAATTAGCTTTAGAGCTAAGTAAGTACTACCCAACCCCGTAAAATAATCACGTTTGACAAAAATAGAATTTTTATATAATAATATATAAAAATACTCACACCATCGAAATTCTTTTCACTTTGATTTTTCTCAAGACTACTTCTTTACAAAAATCCTCAACTTCTCTATAAAACTTCATAATAACTCTTCTCTTTGATTTCCTCCAAAATCACTTCTTCTCTAACTTCCTAGTAATTTAGAAGGGCGGTGCTCAACCTTTCGGTAGAGCCCGGTGGACCGTGGTTACGGACGGCCACCCCGAACAAGTGCCGGTACCACAACTGCTCTGTTGGAAACGAAACGACTACCTTAAGTGTGCACACCCCTTAAAAGGGATTCCAAGCCTCCCGAGTAGTAAGTCGTAACGAGTAGTCGGGACTCAGTCTACCAGCTACCCCTGAATAAGATATCTTGAATGATTAGGGACTACTACTACCATAACTTCTTCTTAAAAGGGATCATCGATCCAAATATCACTTTTAAACTCAAACTGTACTTCTAAGTAGTAGCAGACCTAATCACCCTCCACATTTATCCGGACGCGGAAAACCGACACCTCGGATTACTCCCGAGATGCTCACTTGCTATGAAAATGTAAATTTTATCTTCAATAAATAATACTTCCAAAATACTTCTCAATTTCTCTAAAAAGTCTTGAAGGTATTTAAAAATATTTAATACCCCAAAAGTACTTAATTTATATTTCTCAACTACCATATATATAATATCTCTTCAAAAATCACATACACAAAATTCGACAATTCACACTTATTCACATAATGCATAATCAGCATATAATACGAGGAAACAATTTTAGATTGGCAGAGAAACTTACATCAAATCGTGATAAGTCATGAATGAAGCTTCTACCTCGATCTTCTCCAAATTCACCTTCTAAGATATTAAAATTCTAAAATTAGCTCTTTATTCTAGCTTTGCTATTTTACCCCATCTCTCTCGTCTTTAAGTACTGACTAATAAGGGTGAGATTAATCGGCTCACATATTACTCAAAAGCCCATTGAAAAATAATGTATCTATTTTAATTCCATCCCTTAATTCATTTTAGTTAATCTGCCCAATTAGATTTTATCTAATCATTTACTTTTATAATTTTATGTCCAGCAGATCATTAGCACACGGC